CCGGCTTGGGGATCCCTGAAATTCTAGGGAAAGGTCCGATCCAGACCGCCACGAGCTCCGCTCCGCTTCTCTCGGGGAGGGGGAGGGGAGGGAGGGCGATGTGGGGAGTTTTGGCTCCCCCTGAAATGATGAACAACTTCTGGAGCAGCGCGGCTGCTGGGACGCTCCCTCCCAGTAAACATGTTTTTATTTAAATTGCTCAGTAACTTTCTCATTATTTCTTAAACCCGAGCCCTGCCACCCAGCTCCTAGAGGCAAAGTTAAGCGAGTCCAGCCCCAGCCCGGCACAATCAGCTGCAAATGGAGGAAGAAAATGTAAAATGTCCAAATAGAGAAGTGGTTCCCTTTGTTCTTTCATTGTTTCTCCACGAACTGGCGGATACAAGCACAAACACTTACCTTCTCTCCTTTTTGCTCCAAAAACCAGACGTTCCCATCAGCTTTAAAATACACAATCCACCTTGGAAGCGACTACAAATGTCGGGAGAGTTTGTATTCCATTCTTTTTCGCTCTCTGCCCTTTTTAGTGTAAGATTAAGTTGCCGAGCACGTTGTTGCAAGCTGTAGCCCCCCGCCTTAGTGAATGGTCACGTTTAGGACCCTCCAAGTCCATCCTAATTCTGCCAGTAGAATCGAGGGTATTGGAGGTCTAAACTTTCAAAAGGAAAAGGGCCTACAACTCTGCAGCAACTCTGCAAATACAGTCGCCTTTGCCACTACGTCCTGGTTCGAGTAAACAGAAATCAGCATTTCTCCTGGGATATTTATTTTTTTTTAAGTTTAAATTTAGCGGTGGTGTTCCTTTAGGCAAAAAGCGCTAAGAGACAATTTGGTGTAAAGGTACAATCTACATCACGATATACCACAGCCTGTAATACCTTGGGCTTTAAAAAATAAACAAGGGCATAGTGTAGAAATATTGGATATAAAGTTGAAATTGCCACGGCAGCTGGGGGGGAAAGGCACCTGCATGCACACAAACACATGCACGCAGACATACACACAT